CGAGGCTTGCGATCCCGTCGCCGGTCCCCGGTCCGGTACGGGGGCAACACTGAGGGTTGCGATCCGTAGCCGGACACGGAAAAAAGACAAAAAAAAAAATAAAAAAATAAAATAATAAAATAAAATTATGACACAAATTATAATACTTTTTAGGATGAGTCACTGGAAAAATATGATTCCAGAAATTTCCTTCACAGCCAGCTTTTTGAGAATAGAGCCTTTATTAAATGAAGTTTGCCTGTACTTGATTGGCTGTTGGAGTAATATATTAGATTTACTTAACAAGATCTGTCAGATTCTTTCTGCTTATCACTTCAGTTAGAAGTGTTACATTCCCAAACTCTAATGTTAATCCGAGAGCGGTGGGGAGACCTTGTGCAGGTGGAAAGGTATCATGCTGGAAAGTGCCTCTCCCTCTCAGTTTGGAAGTAAGTAATATTAGTTCTGTTGGGTTCATGTTGTGACTGTAAATACTCCATCTTTTTGTTTCTCTTTTTTTCTCATACATCTGATTTAATATATACCAATAGTCATGCACCTCTAGTAACATGCCTTTTTATAGTAAGGTCCCATGGTATCGCATAGACCACTTAGGACATCTATAATTGACACCTTTCTTAGAACAAAGTGTGTTTTAAATACATAGATATTTATCTGTCCTAAGACTTACTAGTCTTAAAAAGCTTGATAGATTAGTTTACTCTGGTCTCATACCAAATTGCTAAAAGAGCATTAGGTTAAAAGAAGATTAGTGTATTATTTTTTAAAATACGCTTACTTACTAGCTTTCCATTTTGAATTGCACCTTCTAAAAACTTTTTGTTTTGGAGAAAATTGGCATCAGGCTGTTTATAATCCCCGATTCCCTGTTTGAATTTGGTTGATTCCCATTTTCTATAAAGGAATCAGAGGTAAATGCCACCTCAAAAATAGGTTGTTTTGGGGCCGGCCCGGTGGTGCACTGCTATAGTGCGCCGCTTGAGAGCGCGGCGGCGCTCCCGCCGAGGGTTCGGATCCCACGTACAGACCAGTTCCCGCTCACTGGCTGAGCGAGGTGTGGGCGCAACACCGAGGGTTGCGATCCCGTTGCCGGTCCCGGTCCGGTCCGGGCGCGACACTGAGGGTTGCGATCTGTTGCTGGACATGAAAAAAGACAAAAAAAAAAAAAAAAAATAGGTTGTTTTGTTTTGGGGTCCTTTTTTGTGTATGCATGTGTTTTGTTTTAAAATTTTATGCCTATGTAAAAAAGTTGCAATAAACCAAGTATTGTATTGGATTACAGAATAGCTATCTTTCCAGCATTAATTTGTTCCCTGCTCAAACACTGAGGGCCTTTCATGTTCCAGGCTCTGGCTAAGGTGCACAATAGATTGTCTCTATTTTATTCTAAAAGTTAACAGGCTGTGTAGAAAAAACTTAATAATATTTCTTTTTTTCTCTTTAGTCAACAGGTTCTTGGGAGAAAAACAGGGACGGCATCTGTTCACAAAGTTACAATTAAAATTGATGAGAATGATGTCTCCAAGCCTTTACAGATTTTTCATGATCCTCCTTTGCCAGCTTCTGATTCCAAATTAGTAGAAAGGGCCATGAAGGTAAAAGATCTCAATGTATTTTAATATCAGTTTGATTAAATGAATATAACTTACCATTTATACTTAAACTTTTAGAACAAATTCTTTAAAATGCCTGTTTCTAAAACCCTTTATGAGATTTGTTTTGAGTGTTATACTTCTACATTTGTTGGTTTTTTTTTAAACATGATACTGTAATGTATAATTGTTAAGATATTTTTTCAAATTTTATAATTTAGATCAGATCACCATTTTATTTTTAAGGTCTGGCATTTGAGAGCTATGATAAGTGATATATATAATATTTTGATTTATAGTCATCAAAATGTTATTGTTTTAAGCTACCAATGCTATATAAGTTAATTTTTAACTTTATCTAAGTTTGCCTTCTTTTACTGGTTAGTATTTAATCAATGTGATTCTAAAAGAAAATCTTGAAACATAGTAATCTACTCTCAGGCTTTTAAAGTAAAAATGTTTAAATTGCACATAAGATTCTGTTGTTCTTGTTTCTGCAGATTGATCATTTATCAATAGAAAAACTCCTGATTGACAGTGTCCATGCAAGAGCTCATCAGAAGCTCCAGGAACTGAAGGCCATTCTTAGAGGCTTCAATGCCAATGAAAACTGTAGGTTCTTTTAAATTGACATTTCTGGGTTTTTTGTTTAAATTAGTGTCTACTTTTATTTTATGAAGGGCCTTTCTTAAAATGACTTTTTTCTTGATAGACTGGTTTTGCTATGGAGGCAAGACATTTCTGCATTTTAACTTTTAAACTACTAAACTTGTCCTAATTTTTCCCTTATTTTCTTCTTTCTTATTTATCTTGGCCTCATTTTTAAATGTTTGCATATTGTCTCTCCATAAATTTTTTTTTTCCTATTAAAATGGAAGCTATTTTAACCTCTTAATATGAGTCATTTCTTTTAGTTTTTCTTCTGGAATAAAGTAGCATTGCAAATATTTGTAATGTATTTATAAAATATGCCTCTTTGAGTGAGGCAGAATTCATACCTGACGTTTTTTGAAAGATATTTTGAATTAATGTATTAACAGAGTTCAAAGTAAGAAATGCAGGTACACATAGTGAAAAATCTTCCAAGTTTAATTACGCAGTAAGTATACTTATATTCAGAGCTTTGAGGGATGGTTAGTCATTTCACTCTAGGAATATAGATTCACAACACCATAATGAGCATATTTACTATCCCTCCCTCACTTGTTTTTGGCCGTGATTACCTTGTGCCCAAAGTGCATAGTCTTTAAAGTGAGATAATATAGGTGGAGTGCCTTGTAAGTAGGAAATCTTAATAGTGCTAGTAGCAGAGGTACTGCCTTTCATCATCACAGAGCCCAGCTCAGTCCATTACATTTCTTAGGTAGGTACTAGCTTCTTAGGTAGGTACTAGTAACCCTGGACTAAAACCACTTTGACAAAGTAGATAGAAACACCTGAAGAAAAGAAAGTCAGAAAAATAAATACGTATTTAGAATATGTGTTTAATATATATTTATTCAAGGAAAAGTGAAAGAATAGAGATGAAAAAGGATCTAAGACAGGTCAGAGGGTTAGCTTGTATTTTTAAAGAGGCTAAGGAGAAGGTAGCTTAAAATGCAAATGTGGGCCTTAAAAATGAAATAAAGGGTATGCCAGAAATATAGTGAATGTATTGGTTAAACCTATTTTTTTGAGGGGAAAGCCATGTCCGCTTGCCCCATCAGCGTTTAACATTAGATTTGTCAGTTCTTAATGATCTTAATTTAATTGTAGCCTTCAGTGGAAGCCCCCCTCCTTTAATCCCTCAAGCAAAGATGTGTAAATACAGATTTAAAAATTATGATTTGAATGTACAATTGAAACTCTGATTGGATTACGAAGGACACTAACCACTCCCTTTTGTTCTTTTTTCTTAACAGCTTTACTGAAATGTAATTCACATACAATTACCTCACTGAATGAGGTTGTTACTATACTCAGAGTTGTGCAACCATCACCACAATCTAGTTTTAGAACATTTTTTTTTTTTGTCTTTTGTCTTTTTTCCGTGTCTGGCAACGGATCGCAACCCTCAGTGTTGCCCCCGTACTGGACCGGGGACCGGCAACGGGATCGCAACCCTCGGTGTTGCTCCCGCGCCTCACTCAGCCAGTGAGCGGAAACCGGTCTGCATGTGGGATCCGAACCCTCGGGCGGGAGCGCCGCCGCGCTTCCCAAGCGGCGCACTATCCAGTGCGCCACCGGGCCGGCCCCTAGTTTTAGAACATTTTAATCATCCAAAAAGAAACCCTGTATGCGTTAGCAGTCACTTCCCAGTCACGCCTCCCCCAGCTACTGGCAACCACACTAATTAATCTACTTTGTAGATTTGTCTATTCAGACATTTTCTATGAGGGTACTTCAAAACGTTTGTGGAAAAATGGAATTAAAAGATAGTATGAATCTTTCTGTGAACCTTTTGAAGACCCCTCATATAAATGGAATCAGGTAATGTGTGGTCTTTTGCATGTTATTTTTAACATAATGTTTTTGGTGTTCACCCATGTTATGGCATGTTTGAATACTTCATTTATATTGTCAAATAATCCATTGTATGGATATACCATATTTTGTTATCTATTCATCATTGATGGACATTGGAGTTGTTTCCACTTTTTGGCTATGGGGAATAATATTGCTATGAACATTCAGATCCAAGTTTTTATGTGGACATGTTTTCATTTCTGTTGGATGTATACCTGGGAGTGTAATGGCTGGGTCATGTGGTAACTATTTAGCCTTTTGACATGCTTAATACCACCTTAAAATCCCATCAGCAGTGTGTGAGGTTTTCATTTTCTCCACATTCTCACCAATACATCTGTCTTGTTTCTAGGCATCCCAGTGGGTATGAAGTGGTATCTCATTGTGGTTTTGACCTGTATTTCCCTGACTGTTGAGCATCTTCTCATATATCTTCTTAGAGAAACATCTATTCAGATCCTTTGTCCATTTTATAGTTGGGTTATTTATCTTTTTATTGAATTGTAAGAGTTCTTTATGTATTCTGTATACAAAACCCTTTTCATATATCATGATTTGCAAGAATTTTCTCCCATTCTGTGGGTTTTTTCACTTTCTTTTTGGTATCATTTGCAGTACAGAAGTTTTTAATTTTGATGATGTCTGATTTGTCTGTTTTTTTCTTTTGTTGCTTATGCATTTGGTGTTATATCTAAGAATCCATTTCCTAAACCCAGGGTCATGAAGATGTACTCATATGTTTTTCTCTAAGAATTTTATATTTAGCTCTTACATTTAGATCTGATTCATTTTGAGTTATTGTTTGTGTATGGTGAGGTGTAGGGGTCCAACTGCATTGTTTTATATGAGGATATGCATTTGCTTCAGTAACATTTGTTGACTGTTTTTCCCTATTTGTCTTGTCACCCTTACTGAAATTCCCTTTTTGTTCTTTAAGAAAACTAACCATTTGCAATCTTAATTTTTCTAATTTCTAGTTTTTCAAAATAGTAAAATTCTAAAATTTTATTTGTTGGGATTCCAGAAAATAGGGTTTGTGATCTTTTGATGGGCTCTGGTTTACTTTAGTATCATCTGTAAACAAGGCTTAGTAACTCAGTATGATTGCCTGAGGGATATTTAAATTACCTTGAAAAATAAACTCTAAGCATATATTTACATAGGAATGGTTTTGTGTACTATTCATCTAAGTTCTGAAGATTGCTCTTTAGCAGAATTTTGTAGAGATATCACTGCCTGAGTAGCCAGAAAGTCTGAGTTCAGCTGCATGCTCTTGAGCAAATAAATCATTTACACTATTTTGGCCCCATTCTTCTCATCTGTAACTTGAAGATATTAGTCCAGGCTCTTCCTACCCGGGGTTTTCAAGCCCTAGGTGTTAAAGAAGGATGCTTCAAAGACTATGATTTGGAGGTGAGGGAGCAGCTTGCATGTGGGGTTGGTCCCCCAGTCCTGCTTTAATCAGGACAGTTCTGGAAAGGAGGACTGCTGGAGGAAAGGGTCTGCTGACCTACCATTTTAGGACATATGCTTTAGCTTGTTTTTTAAATTCATGTTTATGCATTTATACTATTCATGTAATCTTATTTGATCCCTTTTGTGGTGGAAAATCATGCTTTAGTAAGATCCTATACTGGGGCCAGGGACTATTGTCTGTTCTTGGAATCCCTTAGTGCAATCACCCTTAATCACCTGGCTTTTCTTCCAACTCCTAACTGGAATAACCTGAGGAAATGAGTAGCTCAGGGAATGGAGCATTTCAAGGGAGGGCTACAGGAATGCACAGACCACAGGTTTTGGACAGCCCAGATGGCAATATGGGGTTTCATGGGGGTGGGAATGGCTCAGGGGAGAGCAGGTAGGACTTTGGAGAGAAGTTCAAAAAAGGCAGTTCAAGGCACTGAAGGTAACTTGAGCAGTTTGTAGCATTGCCTAACTCTTGGAAACCAGGGTACTGCTACCTCGTGTTGTACTCTGTCAGTGCCTTATTAGGCTATCACAGTCAGTTTGGAAGCTGTGAACTACACACATCATTCCTAGTTGGGCTTAGTTACTTCTCTTTAGTCTTCACACTTTATATTATTATCTATTGGGCCATTCCTCATTTTGACCTCAATAAATAATAGGGAGAAGTAAAAGAGGAGATATGTATGTGGGTATTTCAAAAAGTTCATGGAAAAATAGAATTAAAAGATAATGCAAATCTTTCCATGAACTTTTCAGAGTAACTCCGTATATATTTTTGCTACAAGAAAACGGTAGTGTACAGTCTTGTCATACTGCACTGCCTTTAATTCCCCTTTCTTTATTTTCTTAAGTTTTCCCATTTTTGGATACCTTAAAACATGTTGCCTTTAAATATATTTTATTTTCAGAAAAAAAAAAAAAAGCGGACATTGGTAGGGATAAAATATGTTCATAGGTATACATCACAGTATTTTCTGTCTTTTGGACTGTGTTCTCTATATTCTTTTCTGATGCCCTGTCTTTTCATGAATACTCAGTTTTGATAATTGGATTTAAATTATAGTTGTTATTCCAATTCCCAGAACTAGTTTTACTCCATTGCTACACTTTAGAAATGGTTTTGCTTTAAAGATTATGTTTCTCTACCCCATTAGGTAGAATTAGGAATTAGAGTAGACATGTTTTAAAAATCAGCAACCGTGCTTTAAATCTGTAAACATTTTTTATTAATGCAGTAAGTTCAGCAAAACATCACTGATTTGAACTAATTTGTCTCACTGATCTGAATTATAAAATACGAGGGTACTTCAAAAAGTTCATGGAAAGATTCATATTATCTTGCAATTCTGTCTTTCCATGTATTGTAAAAGAAATTTGTTTGCCCTTTTTTGTTGTTTTTTGTTTGTTTGTTTGTTTTGTTTTTAGGTGAGAGTTCTGCTGGACCTGCATGTTATACATTTGTATAAAAATATGTATTAGATGTACTTGAAAGAAATTTATTTTCATCTAATTAAATGTCTCCTGCAGTCTTTTACTATATTAATTTGTTTGTATAGACAGTACCAATGGTAACTTCATTCATTTGAATTATTGCAAACTCATAAGAGGTTTTGGTTTTTTTCTTTGATTCATAAAGGAATACAGATAATGTACATTTGTTGAGCACTTTGCTTTTTCGCTTTTAATTTTTTCATTGCACATGTTTATGGGGTACAGTTTTTGTTTCAGTACATGCATATATCCTATAATGATCTAGTCAGAATAGTAAACATATCTATCACCTAAACATTTATCATTTCTTTGTGGTATAACATTCAAGATTCTCTTTTCTGG